AGAGAACCGATCTTTACAGCGCGGCTGAGAACAGCTGGCCCAACGATGACGCGAAAGGCGTCCCACGTATCATTGCCGAATACGATGTTTTCAATCGCGATCGTACCTTTAACTGGCATACATCCTGTCGAGCGTGAGTCGTGACTCTCTATCCTTCGTCTGACATATAAGCAAGATACTTACTAACACAAAAATAAAACTCAACAGAATCAGCGACTCTTGTGACTTTGTCAATCCTCTTGAGGAGGCAGATGATTGTTCGAAACACCAGGAAAGAGCCTTTGCCCTTTGGGCCATGGGAAACTTTGCCCTGTTCCAGCAAAAATGGTACAAGGCAGTCAAGGATGGGTAAGACCAAGTTCCTTCACTATACCCTTGACAATGTTTACTAATGACTTTAACTATGCTCCAGCGTGGACTCTGCATCCAAGTCATCAGGCGCTATTGCCGACAAATTCTTGCCTGTATCGGCCGAGGATGCGCTTGCGAACCCGGCTGCGTGGCTCACTATCGTGGCTGGAATGTTCACCACAATAGGTGGTATCGCCCCTGGAATGCTTGGAAACGGTGTCAACTTTGTCGCAGGCGTCTTGACCATCGGCGCTGGCGCTGCCTCGTTTGGCGCAGATTCCACTGAGCCGAGCCCGCAGTTCAAGTCATTTGCGAGCTTGGACAAGGCCCTTGGCGATATGGTTGAATGGACAAGAAAGGCCATGGCAGCGCAATTCAACCGCTACTTTGTTGAGACGCCGCCCAACAATGACAGGGCGCGTGGCTCAGAGCTGGCTCGCGCTATTGAATCCGGTATCTGGGCCAACCAGGATATTGCGCAGGCTGACTCGGAAACCATATGGGATAGCGGAAGGGTTCAGTCCATGATTGAGGCTGCTATGATCAGTGAGATGTGGAATACCGGAGAGGTCGCCATCTTCAAATGGTCCAGAGATCACGACTTGGCTAAATGGGGATTCAACCCATGCTTTGATGGTAACAAGCACGGCTTGGACAAGTACGTCGCCTGTATCAACGGCCACAACTATCTCATTGTAAGTTCCAAGGTTCCATGGCAGGCTTTATCAAAGTGAAATCTCTAACATCTTGTTACTAGGCCAAGCAGATCACCAAGGATGAGCAAGGCGATGCCAGAAACTGGCCAGATATCGGATCGGACGAGGAATCACTCAAGGAGTACAAGCTGGATCACGCTACTGTTATCAATGCTGCAGAGAGGACACAAAACCGAGCTGACCGCTTTATTCCCCGTGGAATTGACAACCTAGGAGAGCTCTTCACCGAGGCTTCTACACAGCCTGAAGGCGACCGCTCCAAGTACTTGACCTACTTCAACATTCCAGGTATGTATTGATCATGGCGATATCTCATGTCATGTCGCTGACTAAGTAATAGTGTGCAATCTGAACGACGTGAACAACTTCGAAAAGTACCAAGATCACCTGTCTGGGGAAGTTCAGTTTTGCACGAGTGAGAAGACTGCAGGAAACCTTGTGCCATTTTGTGTCGCCCATATGCTTGCCATCAACTGTAGGAAGCTCAGCTTACCAGGAGGGGAATGGCCTTATCAGAACGACATTGTCGCTTGAGTGGGATAACGTGCGATTTGTTCAGCTCAGGGAGGCTAGCAAAGGTCTTATCCGTCTTGTTTAGTTTCATGATGGGGGCAGGTAGAGGGATTGATTGGATATATAAAATAGCTCAGAAATACATGTTAAAATTCTAGCGATCTAGCATTGAGGGTCCTGGCTCAGATATGTCGCACTAGCTGGAAGCTACCAGCAAGCCATCTATACACCATATCGTCAAAGAAGATTTAGAATAGCTATTGAAGTCATCCACGTGGGGCGCAAGTCTGTTGTTAACATCATCTCCCCCTTGACGTCGAGATCTCCAGCAGCCATGGTACTCCATCGGGAATCTTGTAGCGCGGCCATTGAGAATATCAAGGAATAAGCTCAATTTGGGCTCTTCTGTTTTAAGATACTACCCTGGTAAAATTCTGGCAGACGTCCCCAACGGAACATGTCCATGATGCTGGTATATCTTGAAACCTCTGGGTTTGATGCTAACTGCCTCCTATTCTCCTCTAGCAACTTGTCAAATTAAGGTCATCAGGATATAACGCTTGACCTTGCAACTGATCACTGGCCCTCCCATTCCCCGTCTAAACATACTTGCGTGAGCCAAACCAGTAGACCAAGGGCGGTACGACAATCTCAGTGGTCGTAGCTCGTTGCAGCCATGGAAATCCCCAGCCAAGTACCCCAGCTGAGATAGCTCTCCCAGTACCGCCTAATGCCAAACCAGCCAATAGAATATTCAAAGCCAGCTGTCTTTCTTTGATATCGTACGACGTCCAGCATAGCGCAGCGCCGTAGGCAATGTATGTTCCGCCAAGGAAGCGGATCTGCGAATCCATGAGGGAAACGATTGATGGAGGGAGTTTTGCGCGTTCAGTTGGGGCGAGATATTCTGTCATACCACGAACGACGTGTGATGCGCCGTTGTAAATGATCCAGGCGGAGAAGCCTTTGAGGAGGAGGGGAGTGTATTGCGTGGGTATGAACTGAGACATTCTGCTGGAGATTCGGTGGAGATTGGAGAATATCTAGAAGTACGATGTGACTTTATGTACAAAAAGGGTCCAAAGGTCTACTTATAGTCCTACAATACAATTTTACTCTGGCTGAAACAACGCGCGTTTTTAATGTTGAGCCAATGCATGGTGTTGTCCGAAACGGCACAATATCTTGCCGTTGGCCTATCAGCGCTCATAGCAACGAGGAAAAGTCGCCGGACCGGCGTGATTCTCTTGTCAGCGTTGCTGACGCAGCGCTCGCTCCCTAAGAATAAGTACGAATAATACATTTGTCGTCACAAAAAGAAAGGGCTGAGAGCGGACATAAGAGGGTTATGTCCGGAGTTGTTCAATCTGTGGCGGAGATATGCACAACACAAAGGGGCAATCGCCCTGAAGGCATCGTGATGATTAGCAGCCACTCAATTCAAGATATGCTTCTACATTTTTAATCATATCCCGACCCTACTTAGTGCCTTTTGCCTCAATCCCACTACGCATTTCAGGCTATAAAGTGGACTGTGGATCTCATTCATATTCTCGACACGCTTCTCCATCCTCCAACAAAAGCGCAGCGCTCGACTACATGATGTAGCACGCACTTACGAAATCTATAAACCCTTTGCTCGCTTCTGCAGTTGCAAACAGAGTGCCTATTTATGAGGTCATTGTGACGAATAAAGACCCTTGTAAACGAGAGCTTCTTCCTCGTCTATTTTATGGAGCAGTGACGATGCCCTTGACGTTATGATATCATCTCAACATTCAACCTTCTTCATAAACCAAACCTCACAACTTCAACCTCTCGTCCTCATCTCCATCAAAGCACAAAACCTCATCACAATCAACAACTCTCCTCACACACCACCGAAGCCCAATCAAACTCTCACCCCTCTATACAATCATCTTCAAGATGGCAGACCTTCCTACCAAAGATGACATCAAGTCCCAAGCCGTCGACGGCCGTCCCATCACCCAAGCCGAAGCATCAGCCATCGCTTCCGAAGAATCCGCCCTCACAGGTAGCGGCCCCATCAAAGGCGGTGCTGCGGCCACTGCTCAGAGTCTACACGACAAGCAGATGAACTTCCTCGAGAAGGCGGGTGAAGTCGTACGAAAGGCGCCTACCGAGGTGACAAAGGAGGATGCTGCAGAGGTGCAGCGTGCAGAGGTAAGATACCGCGATGGTATGGGTGATGATCGTTGACTGACTGGTGTAGGCTCGAGCCAAGGGCGGTCCTCCTGGAAAGGGATCGACTGCTGCTGATGTGCAGTCTGTTGCGGACACGAATGCCCAAGCTTAGAACCAGGATTTGCTCTTCCAGATGGATGCAGGGATGAATCAGTGGTGTTGATTGCCTCAGAGGGGTTCTCAAGAAGGAACTCGCGGGAAAAGACATGATTAGACGTGTAGAATTGCTGGGAGACGCCAGAGGCCAGGGCGGGGCCCAAACAGAGTTATCATAATCAACACTCAACCTACATTAAGTTGATACAATTGACTTGTGTCTTTCTAGATATTTGTGCCGTGAAAACATGCACTGAAAACCTCGATTAAACCCGAAAAGCGGCTCAGCGAAAATACCACTTCGTGACTTTGACATGAGTCTACATTATTACTTTACATTACCGCTCATTCACCACTGAGCTTGGCCAAAATATACTTCTGACACGGAGTTCCAGGCATACATCTTCTGTCCACTATCGATATGCCCTATCGATTCATCCAAGGGAATTTTATCAAGGGTAAACTTACCAAACCCGGCTTTTTTCTTTTTCCTTCTTCGCCTAACCACTTCCCAGATCAGGCAACATGCCCGCGCAAGTGACTTTGGAGATTGGCCTACTGATTCTTCTGATGCAACGCTCTGTTGGTTGTTATGCTGTTGGCTGTGTTTTGTCCCACTTCCATATGCAACTAGGCAAATGAGGAAGCGCTTTGACAGTTCAGACAAGTAGCCGAGATCAGATCATGGGCAATTCAATGGTCAAGATTGAGCATAAAAGGTCGTTCACTCATAAGCTCGCCGCGAGTCTGAGTCTTATTGATCGCCATTCCTTCTCTTGGGAGATGTTTGAAGATATGCTGGTCGACCGTCGTCGGCGAACCGAACCCCGGATCACGAGTTCACGACCCCAGCATGACGACTTGCAGCGTGGGCCGTAACTAGGCTTCTTATGGACTACTACTGCATGAAGACTGGGCACGCAGTCCTGGCTCCTTTGGTTATCTGCGACGAGGTTGGCTCGGATGCCCGGATGATGGAATACATATTTCGATAGCATCCACTCCTCATTCCCCTCTCGAATGTGTCTACCTTGAAATTTTGAGTGTACAATCATAACTCAAGCCAAGCCCGGAGAGTAAGCGTTCCGACATCGGAAATCCTGCTTGCTCAAACTGGCAATGTCTTTCCTTGTGAAACTCGGTCTACTACTCTGTTTATTCGCGAGTTGGGCATCATGCTTCTCCAAGTTTTTACGCCCTCCGGAGCAGGACCCAGGTCAAGCAGTTGACCAGGACATGACCAAGAACAGCCACTATGAGGATGGCGAAATGATTCCGATCCTATGGGACACCAATATTAAAAAGGTTGACCTCTATATTTGGCAATTTATTGACGCTCAAAAGAACACAACCGCTCGCTTGGAGGGTAATTGCACCAAGTCCCTTCCGTTTATTATGTTGCTGATTGACCTGCCTAGACAATGGTACATCTCCTTCCAGTGACTGGAAGGCTCAGTATGATATTTCCAACGCAACCGAGAACAACGAGGATTGCATTTACTGGTTTACGTTAATGGACAGCAAATATGGCGGGACACTAGCAAAGTCTCAATACGTAAACGTCAGTGCGCCAAAAGCCGAGGAGACCACGACGGATTCGTCTGCGAGCAGAGAGACAGATTCTGCACCTGAGACTAGCTCTAAATCTGGATTGTCTCGCGGTGAAATTGCCGGTATAGCAGTCGGCGCTACAATTGGAGGTCTGCTGTTTCTTGGGGGCATTGGATTGTTGTTTTGGAGAAGACGGATGAGAAGGAAAAATGATGCGGTAGTGGCAGAGCTTCCTGGGAATTATGAGCAGGACCAGCCTCAGTCTGAGAGGCCGAAGAGTGAGCTACCTGCCGAGCCAGTGGTTTTTCCTGCAGAGCGGCCGAGGAGCCCTCCTAGAATTTATGAAGCACCATGATTAAAGAGACAAGAGGAAAGCTTAACATATAATATCAGTCAATACATTCTGACTAGCTATACTTTATATCAAATCGTCTCACAAGTTTCATCCTGGTTATTCTTTTCAACTTCCAAGTCACAGGTTCAAACACTTCAACCATTGAACATAAATCGTTTGTCATCTTGACCATCTTGAAAGCCATCATCTTACTTGAGATCCTTTCCAGTCACAGTAGACACATTCCAGTCAAGCAAAGCATCACTGCCCAACACCCCCTCAATAAGAGTCGTGCTCAGGTTCCACAAATTGTTTGCCAATTCCGGGTTTGAAGCCTGACTCGTTTCCTTGCCGTCTTGATCAGGATCAGAGAAGTAGTAACCATTCAGATCCTCCTCCTCGATCTTCGGCGAAGTCAGCGCCCAGAGTGCACTGTAAGATCCCTGCTCAACGTCACGACCGATGGCTAGCATTGCCCAGGATAGAAGTCTTCCTGTCAGGCCGGGGTAGGCATCTTTCCACTGCTGCTGCATCGCGGTATTGACCTAGCATTTTGTTAGTATCATTCTTCGATTGAGGCACGTGATGACTTACCGCTCCAGGATGGACAGAAAGGGCGTAGATCCTATCATTGTTCTCCTGGATGACCTTTCCAGCTAATCCATACTTTGCAAACAAGATCATGGCAAGTTTGGTCCTGTTGTACCTCGCCGTAGAGTCAAGGTTCGAATCGTTGATCTCATCCTTGCTTCTGAACTGGATGTTCGAAAGCTGCGCGAGACGATGCATCTCACTAGCCTCAAACACAACTCTCGGCGGCGGTGTATTCTCCATCTTTCCCGTCTTTCTCAAAAGCGGCCAAAGCTGATTACAAACATAAAAATGCCCCAGAAAATTAACCCCAAAATGTCTCTCAATCCCATCATGATCCAAGCCAAACTGATTCGTGTTTATCCCTGCCGAAAGAACCAAAAAGTCAAGTCTATCAAGAGACTCTCGCAGACCACCAAAGACTTCCCGGATTTGAGCGAGGTTTCCCATGTCGCACTCTTTCCAGTCAACTTTGGCGTCGGACTTTTCGTTTTGGATCGTGGAGATGGCTTCGTCGCCTTGTTCTTGTTTGCGGTTGATCATTATGACTTTGCAGCCTGCGTTGGCGAGGGCGCGGGACACTTCGTAGCCGATTCCGAGGGCGCCGCCTGTTACGATTGCGACGCGGCCTTCGAGATGCTCTGGTCTGATGACTTGGGGGCCGATGCCTGTTGTTTTTTGGAGGATTGATTGCATGGTGATGTTGACTGTTGGTGACGTAAGGTTTAGAGTAGTAGTTTAAAGTGATGTGGAATATAGATGTATAAATTGTTTGCAGTTGTGGATGTGAATCTCAATTCGAGATGAGGACATATCCTATATATTTACGCAACGTCGCCGTTGAAGCCATCCATGTATCACTGTGACGTGACGTTGAGCACAGGTTATTGGCAGGGGACAGATGCTATAAATGACATCATTATTTCTCCCTCATCGCATTTTATGTTACATTTTGCGCAAATCTATAACATCAAATTGACACAATTCTAACGAAATAATTATTCAATATTATTAAACCACTACTTGAAGTTAGAGTCCGATACAGTCTAGGGGAGGAAAGAAAACATAGAACCTTGATCTTAAATGACAAAAAACCTTAGGTAATATAGTCTAAGCTTAGGATAGCTTTTGATGAGTTTATTTTAGCACCTTATATTAAGGTTTGCTGTTTTCTTACCCCCCGAGGGACAGTACCTGGAAGCTTACGATTATAGTTACTTATCAGATAAGAACGACAACAATTTTGCAAACTCCCGATAATCGCGAAGATATGAACGCAATATGAGAAACAATGTTCCGTAGACATTAACCGGATAACTTCTAATCTATGTATTCAATCCAGCATTCAAGCATTCTACCTAAGCCCAAGCATTCCATTATCGTCGGCGAATTTTCGCGTTTAAAGTTCGCCTCACCTCGCCAGTCCAGGGTAAGCCTTCCTAACCGAAAGCATGTTTTCAGCTGAACACCACGAGGTAGCATCGTGAAAAATTGAGTTCACGAGTAGCGGAAATTGGCAGGAAATTAAACAAACATCCTCGGATGAATCTAACCACAATTCACCAACCTCGCCATTTCCTCACAAGGCAGCAGCTGTGCTCCACTGATCAACCGACCGAACATGTGCTAAAAAGTCTAAACTTCAGCTGCAAATGGTGATCTTCACTGATTCTGCAAATCTTTATACTATAAAGCCGTTCTATTTCCCAGCCTGTAGATCTTTACACGTGGTATGGCGGTTATTCACTGAGATCAAATGCTATGGCTGTGTCTTTTGAGTGGCATTGGGGGTGATTTGGGGGTAATGTCTGTCGGCCGACACAACGTTACAACCTTGATGAAAAAATCCTAAGGCTGAAGCGAAAACACCGACGGAGCCTCGGGCCGGGTTAAAGTGAAAGAATGCCAAGTCTCCGAGATGAATCAACTTCCACAACGGGGTTAGGCTGTTAGCTATCTAACCGTGATAATGAACTGAGTCACTGCCTTCAAAAACGGGTCATCGGTTCGAACTGTCAACTCTCAGGGTCCTCGGTGCCCTTTGCTCCATCGCCAGGTGTCAACTCAACTGTCACGAGCTTCCTCCCGTCTTCGAACGGATATTACAACGTCAGTGGCTGACTCTCCTAACCAAGCGCTCTCTTCTCCACGAAAATATCACAAAAGCCTCACAATTTAAAATTACCCATCAGCCAAAGCGCGTAAAACCGTGCATTATGCACTCGGGTACAATGGCTCCTCCGTCGGGGACCGGCAACTTCTGTATTCAATCTAGACCAGGGGTATTCTCACCAATCCTTGTAACAAATCGCGCGACAAAAGGGCCTTCTTGCCTTAGCGCTTATCCCTGACAGAATTATTGTTAAGAAAATAGTGAGAGATTAGGTGGAGAGGCTAACGGGTGTTTTTGGAGGGGGGATAAGCGATGATAGCCTGTTTTGAGATCTAGACCCAGATACTTGGGCGAAAGAGGAAATCACCGGACTTAAGCAGGGGGAACAGAAAAGTTGCTGTTGGTTGTGACAAATTGTGAGGAAGCGAGAAGAGAAGATTGGGGCAGTCGTTTCTGAGAAGAGTGACGATACCAAGTGAGAGAGTTGACGGAAGAGAGGTTCGTCGCCAATCCGTCAGCGTAAAATGTCATTCTGTCAATCGGAAACACTGATAGCTCTGAGGATCATATCGTCCAGGGTTCAACGCAAGGGTCAGCAGCCTTACAGCCAAAAAAACGAGACCACCATGTTCCTGCACTAGCACTACCTTAGCCAGGGGGCTTAGAACTAGCTCGACCCTCTACCCATCCACAACCGAGTCAACGTGCTTCATCCCAAATTGTACGCCGTCCACATGCCAGTCCATTCCACTAACGACGAACTACGCCTCTTTTCCCAATAATGGCGCCTCCATCGTTAAAAACATGACGCTTAGCCTCTCTCTGTCTCTCCCTTTTCCTCCTTCATCCCGCATCAGTCACTCTTTTTTTGCTCGACCAGATTTTGGTTCGAGGTTTTACTTACACGCCCACGATGGCTAATTCACTCTTTTCCTTTTTCCTTCTCACATTCCTTTCATTCTTTGTATCCGCGCAAGACGATGTCAACCCCGGCGACGTGAACCCCGTGCCCCCCGTCGGCGAGATCAAGACCGAGGACCCCATCTCCAGCCCTCTCACCGAAGGATGTCCCCAGCCGTGCGGCATCGCGGGCAACGACCCTGCCAACTGGACGCAGCTTCACAGCCTGGAGGAACTCGCGGGATGTACTGCACCTATGCTGTTTGCGCTCAATGTTGAGAACGATTACAGTGAGAGCGCGACGCTGTATACCTGCGTTACCGAGACTTCTACACAGACTAAGAGGGATGAGGGTACAAAGGTCCAGGCTAGAGCGGCGGAGAGCTCTGTTTCGCTGGCTAGTAATTGCGGTGCTGAGAAGGCTACTGTGAAGACTAGCTCGGCTTATGGAAGGGCTGTGCTGAAGTCGGGGAATAATGTCGCTGCTGCTGCTGGTCTTTTGGCGGAGTATCTTGATAACGGTGCTACGTGCGGCAACACCATTCTCTTCGCCAAGTCAGGTTCTTCCATCGCTGGTATTTACGTCGGCGGTGAAGTCCAAAAGGACAGCGCTGCTAATATTCTTCGTCAATCTGCTCCTCGTCTTCAGAAGGGTGTTCAGGCTTTCCAGGTCTGCAATGCTAATGACAAGACCACTGCGACCATCGGTCTTTACGCAGCTGATAACGTCAACGGTCTTGAGGCTGTTCAAAACGCTGTGAGGACTTGGTCCCACGGTCAGTGCGTCAGCATCGCTCAAGCTTCCAAGGAGTCTATCAACCTTGGTGTTTTGACCACCACCACCGTCAAGGCCCGCGATGTTGAGCTCCGCTCTCGTTTCGCAGGCGTTGAGTCCCTTCTCGCCCCTCGAGCTGACTGCAAAGCTATCCAAGTCGTCTCCGGCGATTCTTGCGCTTCGCTCGCCAAGAAGTGCAAGGTTACTACCGCCAACTTCAACAAGTACAACCCCGCCAAGAACTTTTGCTCTACACTTGCTCCTAAGCAGTGGGTTTGCTGCTCTGCTGGTACTCTTCCCGACAAGACGCCTCAGCCTAGCAAGGATGGTACATGTTTTATTTACAAGATCAAGTCTGGCGATGGATGCTACTCTCTCGGTCAGAACTTTGGTATCACTCAGAAGTTCATTGAGGATGTTAACAAGAACACCTGGGGTTTCGCGGGCTGCAACCGTCTTCAGCTCGGTCAGCCTATCTGTCTCAGCAAGGGAAAGAACCCTATGCCTCTAGCCATCGCCGGCGCTGTCTGCGGTCCTCAAAAGCCTGGATCCAGCAAGCCTTCTAGTGCCAAGACAGGCTGGGATCTCGCCAATATGAACCCCTGCCCCCTAAACGCCTGCTGCTCCGGCTATGGTTTCTGCGGCATCACTTCCGAGTTCTGCACCAACACTACCGCCAAGGGTGGTGCCCCCGGTACAAGCCAGCCCAACACTCCCGGCTGCATCGGAAACTGCGGTACCAAGATCGTCGGCAACACCAAGAAGCCCGCCAAGTTCCTCAACGTGGGTTACTTCCAGGGCTACAACCTCGGCAGACCCTGCTTGAACATGGACGTCACCGACCTCTCCAAGGTCACCACTCCCTACACTCACATCCACTTTGCCTTTGCCGGTCTCAAGTCCGATTTCTCCGTCCTTCTCCAACCTGATGTTCGCGCGCAGTTCCTCAAGTTTAAGGAAGTCAAGGGTAGCTTCAAGAAGATCATCTCCTTCGGCGGCTGGGCTGGTTCAACTGATGCGTCGACATACCAGCTCTACCGTGATGCTATCAAGCCTGCGAACCGTGACAAGTTTGCGTACAACATCATGACTGTTTTGAACAACCATAAGCTTGATGGTGTTGATTTCGATTGGGAGTATCCTGGTTCCGCTGGCTCTGATGGCTCTTCTACCGATACTGCCAACTACGTTGCGTTCCTTCAGGTTATGAGGAACAAGATTGGAAAGAGCGGCAAGACTATCTCTGTTGCTCTTCCTGCTGCGTATTGGTATCTTAAGCCTTTCCCTGTTACCAAGATTGCGCCTCTTGTTGATTACATGGTCTACATGACCTACGATCTCCACGGTCAATGGGGTATATCCTTTTCCCTCTCCCATATATGATTCATACTAATGTCTTATAGATTACGGCAACAAGTTCATCAGCTCCGGCTGCCCCAACGGCAACTGTCTCCGCTCCCACGTCAACAAGACCGAGACCCTCGACTCCCTCGCAATGATCACCAAAGCCGGCGTCGACCCCGCCAAGATCGTCATCGGCATCTCCAGCTACGGCCGCAGCTTCCGCATGAAGGACCCCAAGTGCACCGGCCCAACGTGCCAGTTCACCGGCTCCTTCAGCGTCTCCGAGGCCGAGCCCGGCGTCTGCACCGGCGAGGCCGGATATCTCTCCGACGCGGAGATTCGGCTAATTGCCTACGACGCCAAGCAGGGCAAGAAGGGCGTCACGGCCAAGACGTGGTATGACAAGGACTCGGACTCGGATATCATGACGTTTGGGACAAAGGGTAAGGGTATGACTGATTGGGTTGCTTATATGGGACCTACGACGAAGCAGAAGCGTACGGACTGGGCCAAGAGCTTGAACTTCGGTGGTGTTGTTGATTGGGCTATTGATCTGGAGACTTGGTTCTCTCCCAAGCCTTAGATAATTATCTTCTAATGTTTCTGCTGCCGCAGATTATATATACTAATAGCTCATGAGTATAATGAACTAAGACTGTGGTGCCTTGGCGTCTTCTTCGTATTGTTTCCATCGATATTCCCTCTCAATTCCTTTTCGTCGTTGTGCCGTATCACAGAGCTTTTCATTTCCGCATTCACATTCTGCGCCCTCACGAAGCCAACGATATGTAAGACTCCATCGAATTTGTCGTAATCGCACTGTTCCATCAGGTAGGGTATCTGTCTTGCGAGATTTAATGCCATGAGTCCAGTGTAATCGTGAATCACCGCTCATCTGCATCATACTCCTCGGTAACAAGTCAACCTCAATCTTCTCGCCTGTTTCTTTGTTTGCGAATTGCATGAAAAGTGGTGAACCCAGAGATAGTGAGTAGAGCTGATCGAAGGGGCCGTGGGTGTCAACATGAGGCGGTATTCCTGTTCCTGGGGCGTATTGCTGAAGACAGACTTGATCCGGTGGACGGCCTTCAGTAGTTGGCAGTAAAGGTACTAGCCATTCTGGAAACGGCTTGAAGGGTGTTTCTTCATCGATGCCGAATGTTTTGTAGCTGAATGTGTATCCGTAGTGAAGTGAGAGTCGTCCCCCTCGGTTTGGCCACTCTAGGTCATTCTCGAAAATGTGAATGAGTTTTTGTTCATGTTCTGGTGTGATGAAGTCTTGTTGCATGAAGATTCCCGAAGGCTTGATTGGTAATTCCTCCATTTTGAGTGCTATAACTTGCTGCAGTTCATATTCGACTTGTGATGAGTGAGATAATTCAAGGTCTGGTTCTCGTACGAGATGAGTCCACGCGACATTCTGAGTTTTCATATCACGTGATGCCTTCACCCATATTCTCCTTATAGAAGAGCAAAAATACGCAAGTCATCATAAGCGTATTTCTACATATTCTCAAAATTCTGGATATATCTTACTTGAGTATCTCATGAACCCTCCATGCTCTTGCTCTCATTAAATCGTCGCACTGACTCCCGGGCCTTGATAATCAGCTCCCCGCAAATGTTGAACGACTTCTCGGTTGACCACGTTGGATCTTCTTGGATCCGATCACTGACTTCACCATGTGCAATATGAAGTCTCTGCTGATCTTTCTCAGTTGAGTCATGAAGATCATGCTCTGAAAGTGTTAGGTTGTTCGCAGCCAGTATCATCATGGCCGCTTGAGTCGCGTGAGTACAGCTCCTAGATCTTGTTAGTTATAGAACGGTACAATTAATGGTATAGCTCGGCTTACCAACGAAATGCGTTGTCGCGACTATACACCTTATTTCCTATGTCCAAGCACCTCCGTGCAGCTGTGACCAATCCTGACCAATTCGATGGCAACAACGGGGTATCTGGATACGCTGTTTTGCGAGCTTCGCCGAAGCTTAATAACCGGTCCACCCACTCTATGTTTCGTAGAGTCGCCTGTCGAATACAGAACATACAGTGATAATACGTCACATGTAGTTGTCTGACGAACCTCATCTGTTCGTGGCTGAAACCTGGGATTGTATCTCCCCTGAATGGCTCAGGGATCGACTCAACCCATTTCTCCAGCATGTCGTCTAGACGATCCGCAACGGTTTCTCGCTGATCGAAAGAGAGTTGAGAAGCGCGAACTGAATACACCAAGTCGAAGATCTTGCCTTGAATAGTCGCCAATCGAGCGCGAAACTTGAAGATCTCAAAACGCAAGGAACTGTCTTCGCTGCATAGAATACCTCCGTCTTTGTCAGAGAGATCCGTGACTGAAGGATCAATATCATGCTCTTGCATAAGGTATGGCTCTCCTGTGAGCAATGATAGGTCTCGGTCGATGATGTACGCTATCCAGACAGATTTGACGGTCTCCCCGAACATTTTATGGAATTCCAATTTGTAGACCATCTTGACAGCCATGGCGTGCATAAACCCGGCCCGTTCGAGATGCGACGTGGTCATGTAATAAAGGGCTATCCCCAGAACGATCTTGAGTCCTGTTTCACTTGACAAATCAAAGTGGCTATTCACGTATTTACCGGCCTATGTGATCAATTTCCAGTCATCTCCTTGGAAGTCATTCCTGGGATCGTTTCTCAGAGGTAATGCCAGCATGACATAGATGGCACACCCCTCGTCATCCATAGAACCATGCTCTCTGCAATAGTTGTGAAAATCCTCATAGTTAAGTTCTGTGAATAGTGGCGTGGCTTGGTTGAAGGCTTCGAAGTAGTCATTGATTATGGTTTCCTGGTGCCACTGGGTATACCGCGACGGTAGACCGGAAACTGACGGTGGAGCGTCCCTCCAGTAGTCATTATCGAACAATCTGGCCAGTCTGGGCAATTCTAGGAGCTCATGATCTTGCTCATCATTCGGATCTTCGTCTTGTACGTCGGAAGTGTCATTATACCCCTCCCTTGGATGTATTTGAGTGATTGTGTTGAAATTGAATGGTTGATCTTCGGTGCCGACCATGTCAACACCATCCTCTTCACTGCGGCGCTTCTTCCCTTCATCCTCGAAGTCTTTCAACTCATTCCTCAATTCTTCAAGTGAAAGAATTCGGTCGGAGGTACCCTCAGCTGTCTCGACGCGCCCATCGAAATGTGAAGACTCAGTCTCATTTGCGCCTCTGCTCGCACTGGTAAGCATATCTTCGCCACCAAACTCATGTGTTTAAACGTACGGTTCAGGTGCATCCTCGACTCGAAGAACATACATATTATATTGGCACTCGATACCGTTCGACTTGCAGCTAGAGCATGTTGGGTTTTTTGCATCGCAGTGAGACTTTCTATCATGGCACGGTTCGCATGTCTCGAGAAGTCAGCACAGGTGCATGCAATACTGTGGACCGTACTAACCTTTCGTCTAATAACCCTGAAACGTTGTCGTTCCGTTTCGGGATCAAGGTTGGATGAGGAAGACATGGTAGATTTGCTGGAAGGAGACAGTGATGAATGCTTTGCCATTAACAGACGGGAGAACAAGATCGAGGAGATAAGGTCTGTTGCCCCTCGCGTCATGTCCCGCGCGTTGGTGAGGTACTAGCCCCAAAGCGGTCAAGGCGCACGCGTAGAGAGCTAACTAAGACTAAAATCTACAAGCTTACATTTTCAACCGTCCATGATAACTTTGGTGGCCAAAGATGAATCTCAAATGGCAAAAGCGTCATATGATTATTTTACCATGTATACCCTTCTGGCTTATTGTATATCAAATTGCTCTTGAAAGTCCCGTACACTGTTAATTGACCTCACTTGACCGTTTCCAGCTGAAGTTACCAACGACAACTTCTGGCCAGGGCGAGCAGCGAACCCTCCCATGTGTCTACCCATTTATTCCCGTCGGCCGGTCCTATCACTTCTTCTTATCTGGAGTGTTAAATCACCTCATTAGTTGTATGGAGAGATAGGTTGACAAGATACTACTCACCAGATAAATCTGCGAACAGGGAACTCCTTGGCTGTTCTGCAACTAAACAGAATGCGCATGCGTTCCGCTCATAGACCCAGTACAGTCAGTTCTCTGACAGGCCGCACTAAAGCTGCTTCCCTGCTACAACTGCCATGCCGTGAAGCGGCTCATCCATCTCATGATGGCTTGTCCCCAGCTCCTGGCTGCCCCCGACGCGTTGGAGTGCCTCATTTATCTTGGCCTCTGGCTTTCGCTGACGCTTGATATCGCGGAGGAGTTCCCCTGCTTTGGGATATCTGACCTCCACCGTAAACCCAAAAGAATCCCTCAGTCTTCTCACAATGGAACGTCCGACTGCGCTGCAATTGTCAAACCTTTCGGCCGTCTCGCAGAATTCGGCGTCACCATCCCAACCTTGTCCGGCAACACCAGAGTCAACAGCTTCCTGGATTAATTTGTCCTTGAAAAAGCACTGCGCAAAGTCAACTATAAAAGGCTGGAAGGTTGAAGCTTCCACAACCACATTACGAGGTGCGCTGTCGTATAGGATGACACCGCGCTTGTTGATCTCATATGTCGCGTCAATGGCTTGCTGAATGAGTGATGTCCAGCCTTTCTGCGTTGTAGGTCGAGCAGGATTTCCCTCCTCAATAATGTCATCAAGATTAACCCCTGGGATGTGTTGGAGGAGGATGCCGTAGACAGTTTGGTAATCTTGTTTTGGGGATGCTGAAGTTGGGACGACGCGTACCAACGCATAAAGCTCCGGTATCAAAACACCTTGAAGGTCTTTCAAGCGCTCGTAGACCTCAGCCTCAGTTCTGAAATGGCGATCAGTGATCCTCCAGAGCGCCGCTTCAAATCTCGCGATTCCGTCGGGGCCCTGCCGAATCTCAGCTGAGGTACGAGGAAATTCTGACGTGACTTCATCGTGATCCATCTCCTCGAGGAAAGGGCCCATAGCACCAGAGTTTAGAAACGACTGGTAAGCGGCTTCGACTTGGACGGTACAGGGGATGTGTTTGTCATGGCATTCGCGAAGGTATGTCCCGCAGCGACGATCGTAGACCTTGAGAATGGCGAGGCGATCGTGGAATCGGACTTGCATGACGGGGGACATAGTCTCTGTAATCACTCGCTCAACGATCACAGAGATATTCTTTCCCCTCATGGCTAAAGAACCGCTGCTGCCTTCGAGTATCTGCAGTTGTATGACCTTACCGGCCTGGTATTCTGCTGAGCTCGTTAGCGGTGGAAATTACCGATGGCCAAGAACTTACCGGGGCCGACTGAAGGCTCCGACATGTCGAAGATGAGAGAAGGGATTCGGTGATGAAGGCTATGAGTCCCGCAGCTCTTTTGTGTGGGTGCGTTCAATGATGAGATGCGTTGATGTTGTTGAGAGAAGTTGCTTGAAGAACGCGCGGAGGTGGGTAGATGAGTGTTGTTCTGGAGCGATACTGATACTCTGGGCTATGTTCTGACACTGTTCACCTGTGTCATTGGAGGTGGTAAAACACTCACAAACCTAAAACAAAGAAGCAAGGTCTTCTCGAAATTGCACAGCGTTTGTCAGTCGCTGCAATATATTTCGCAGTGTCAGCCAGCTCCAACACATCCCCCCCTCCACCTCGGCTTTCTCTCTTTGCTCAACTCTAGCCAGGCCGCTACAGTCCTCACCAACTCTTGTAAAGCAGTATCTCGTTATATACATGCGACCAATGGTTAATAGTAGTGTCTTTCGTCTTTACCATGTAGTAACGCCACTACACAAAGCTTGCAGGTAGGCCACATGTCTGGTGGATATCTACGGCCCTGTTGACGATTTTCCCACTCCATGCCGCAGGATATCATCGAAAAGAGTCATCTGAAACTGTCCTTGATAGAGTGGTCTCTTCCTACTCTTCATCTATTAGGGCCATCATACGTGGTCACCAGAAGGACTCTTCCTCATCGTTCTATAGCATAGCTGTACCGCGAGCGTTGCTTGTGGGAATGCAGCACACTCCAGAGAGCGGCTCGCTACCACATGTGAATAAGGAGATAGACATTGTACAGAAGTTATGCGAATCAGCCAGCTTAGAGACCGCTCGACCGAGACCACGGAAAGAAGAGGTCTCCGAGCAGCTACTAGACTGCAAGGTATTTCACTTCGCAGGTCACGGCTACGCCGATGAAAACGACTCCTACAATAGTCATCTACGTTTAGAAGACTGGAAAGGAGATCCATTTCGCGTTACAGACCTACAGCGAATAAATATTCGCGAGCATGTGCCGGTTCTTGCGTATCTTTCTGCCTGTGGCCCCGGACAGATGAAGCGGTATAACCTGGTTGACGAGAGTATCCATTTGATCAGCGCATACCGACTACCTGGCTTTCGCCAATGATCAATGCTGTGTGGAAATAGCAAGGACTACGTATGAGACCATGAGAGATTTGGGGCTGGGTGATGAGGGTGTTAGCTGGGGGTTACATCGGGCATCCAGGGAGCTAAGAGACAAATGGGTCAAGGAGCAAAAGCAAGAGAACAAGAAGGGTTGTAAAGATGAGGATGGACGGGATATAGTGAGTATAGAAGAGGGACTCGAAGTTGGCGAACAGTTGCAGTGGGCACCTTATGTTCACTTTGGTGTATGAAGACAAGACTGTCATTATGAGGTGTTCAAATTTCTCTACAGGGCACTTTGCATAATTATAAGCATAGCCTCCATCTCGAGGTCTTCTGATGCACTACCCGTTGGTTTCCCGTTCCAAATCAAGGCGCGGAGCGTTGATCTTACCCCGCTTATAAAGTGCAGAAACCAGCGATGAAGTCTGGTCACTGGGCATGAAAGTGCAATATGGAATGACTCCGCCCTATGAATTTCCAAGGCAGTGCCAAATGGTCGAAAAAGCTGGAATTTGGTAGAACTAATCATCACACATAAAATCAGCCATGGCCCCGTTTATCGTCCGTTATCACAGATTACGACACATAAAAGTTATCGCCTCGACCTTGATAACCAGTCGTCATGCTAATCCCATCTTATCAATCTTTCGTCGAATCTCGAGCTCGTACGAATCCTTGTATTTCTCGTCTCTCAGACTACTTACAACATGAATGTCTGGGTGAAAGTAAGATCACATACCTAGATTATACAACTACGGTTTCGGCCCCCGAGCGTATCGATGTACCGGAGAATGAGCTTTCCCAGCTTATAAAGACTGCACCATCAGGCTCAACAAGATTTGTGTTTGTGGAGAACATCTCACCCGGCATCATCATATCTCTTGGTGAGAGACTGGACATTGATCCTTTGTTCTTCGCCGACTATATCCATGTTGGTTTTGAGAACCCAGAGGAATCGTCACCGCCACCTTCACTTGCGACCCTGCCGTCTGTCATAGCCACGAGAGATCATATTCATCTCCACTGTCAGAAGGTAATCGCACTGGAGGGAACAGATGAGGAGTTGACACATGTGCCATATGCTCTAAAGACCGAGTCTAATGTTCCTCGAAATGTGCGGCGGTTGGTCACTCTTCCTGGTGGACGGTTGGCATTGTCCCAAACTTGCTGCTCTTTCATCATAAGGACTGTTGGAGACATACGTATCTGTGAGTAATAACTCAAAGATCATCAACCTTCTGACACCAGTAGGTCTCTTCCTCGTTGACCCTCCGGTCACATCCGTTATCCAATCGCTTGACGGTGGCCAGGTATCAAAGTACCAAGCCAGTGTTTCGCATGGGGGGTTCGAAGATTTCCGAGCACCGCAGACTTTTTCATCTTTCAGAAAGTCACCATCTAGTGATACTTGGGATAAGACCTCCATGATGGAAAACATCGTACACTACATGCGGGTGAGCCCACCGCCAGGCCTTGACTTCAAATCGCCAAGTATCCTCGGCATTGGATACTACCCCATCTACATCACCCTATCGGAGTGGAATATATACACTTACCTGACTAGCCGTTGCTCGAAGTACTATGAGTATTCCGATCAAGTCAAAACAGGCCGAATGCATGATGAAGTTCTGGTTGACCTCCAGCGATGGAGAAGGCGCAGTAAGAGCAGCCACCAAAAGCTGAACATTCTTGGAGAAGTCATTAGCTCCCATATCCAGCGCGGAGATGACATGGAGGTATGGAGTGGTGTCCTCAAGGACATTAACTCACTTCGCGACCAACTCCACGACTACAGCCAATCTCTAGAGCAGATGGTTATGGTAGCGACGTCACTTGTCCAGCTCCTTGACTCTCGACGGTCAATCTTGGAAGCTATAAATACAAAGCGTCTGACTTTCCTGGCACTCGTATTTGTGCCTTTGGCATGGGTTTCTAGCCTTTTCAGTATGTCTGATGCCTACTCACCTGGCCATGAGCTCTTCTGGGTCTACTTTGCTACGGCTTTGCCGGTACTCGCTGTTGTACTCTTGCTTTCAGCACTTCCCTATGGGAAGATTACGATAGCTGCGAGGTCATATAAGGCGCGAGTCAGAAACCATGGAACGAGAGTTCTAGGAGAGCTTGTTTAAGATAACTAGTCAAGGGCATATAGAAACCGGTAGTGACAAGGAATCTTTTCCTATTTTATATTTCAATTTCAGGATTAACATCCATCTGGAGCTCCAAGAGTTCTTTGATCTTTGTTAATTCTGTAGAAGCATATTGTAGTGGTTTCAACATGTTGTTAGGCCTTTCAACACGAGCTCTGACCATTTCATCGAAGTTCTCCTTTCGCACAATATTCTGCACCTGGTTGTGAACTAACATTCTGTTCCTGGACGCCTGCTCAGGTTGCTCCAAGATTCCAAACAAAAGTAATTCTATCTGATGTAGGTAAATCCTACCGGTGTTGGATCTCCCATTGGGTTCGAAATATGTGAAAACTACTTTACAGAAACACTCTAGCGTTGAGATACCGAGATCATAAACATGTAACGGCAAACGGGAAACTATTCACGGGCAATCATACCTCGGATTAAACAACCAAAGTTTCTCATATCAATTTCTTCAAAATCTGCAGTGCGTCTTTACGCCACATAGCCCAGCTTCCCTGTGTCCGGAGATGCTTAGGATAATTGTCTGGGAATTTTTTATACCTAGACAGGATCTCCGAGCGTATGCTAGGATCGTCTTTCCAGCTACCTTCATGAAGATCCTCACATGAACCAGAGCAACTAGCTAAGAAGTCATCACGGAACAAAAGGCGTTCCATAGACCTCCAAGTCTCTTCATAGTCTGTTATTTTGTACTCGGTTTTCTTGCCTGTGGCGCAAAATAGAGGTCTGCTGTGGCGTCCATTCGTTCCGCAGTGAATAAGTTTGTGGAAAAACAAGGTTGCCTTGAAATGTCCTAATCGAGCATTTTCTAGACTTGACAGGAGAGTAAGATGACGAACTATTTCATGTACCTTAATTTCTTGGTTGTTTGTGCCCCTGTTTTCTTGTTGCCAGAATGCCCAATGTTGACACAGCAGTTGAAGGAATTCTGTGTCGCAGACCAATACTGCAGCGCAGCAGAGAGGCCAATTCGGCCATGGTAAGAATGAACGTAGAACTACCTCATAGCTGTCTATCAATGGTATAGACAAATCTGCAACTATGACGGCTCGTTCTAGCAGAATGCGGAGGAATGATGGATCTGGTGAGACCAAAGCCGGAAGAACAACCAGTTGAAGGAAATCAGCGTTCCCTAGACTTTCGATACTATGATAATTGATACCCAGTCCCTCGAGCGAGTCTAGGAAGAGGTTCAGAGTGTCAGGGCGTCGGGTCTCTATCAAACGACTACAACTCGCCACAAAATTAGGGCAGAAATCTGAGAAACTTTCCTCATCATGCGTTCTGCTTCGGAAAGAGCCGCCACGACCCTCAACGAGCTGTAAAAAGTCTCTGAAACACTGCTCATCGCCATGGCTTAAATACCATGCGAGGGTTGCTGTAATGTCTGCTGGACGGGGAACGACGACTTGCAGCATAGCGTCAATGTGGTCCAGGCTTCTGCTGCAATAAACCAACTGGCAGATCGCAGGCTGCTCTTTCAAAATTGAACAACTATGTTCGAGAGCCAGTGAGAGATATCCACTATCGTTCGAGGTCAGCGCAGCCTCGACCATAAGGATTACATCATCAGGAAGCCATCTATCTCCATGGTTCATGTAATACACCATCTGGCTCAGGAAATTGCGGTCCAGCCGTAGAAATGCGGTTTGAACGAAGTAGTCTCGTCGATCCTCTTTCGTTTTGAAACCCTCAAGGAGCAACTTCATGTCCGCGAAGTTTTCGCAATGCCAACAGATAAGTTTCCACACGGAGGTACCTAAGGGTAAGGGCCCAGCGCCTAGGCAGTCCCTGAGAAGAAAGTCCGAGCTTGGGCTTTTAACTTGGTAGACCTTCTTGGCTACATCATTGATGATGGTCCTTAATAACAACGCAATCGAGTCGGATGCACCTGGGCTGCCAGTGTCATAATCTGGAAGCAGGAGACAGTTCCAATCTCGACTCGGCCAATTAGCTAGCACGGAAATGGAATGAACCATTGATACTGTCAAGAACTTTGGCTGGAACTCAGAGTAGAACAGTTGGAATCCCCATAGGATAGCCTTCAAGGCATCGCAGTCTAAGGAAAGTCAATAACCGAATATTAATAGCCAGGGAACTTACTTTCCTTGGATATTTAGGATTTTAACTGTGCTTCCCAATCTTTCTTCAAGAGTTTCCAAGAATATCCATAAATCATCGTTCCCCACAGAGTCATCTTCAGGTTCAACTGCAAGAATTTGACGTTGGTTCTTGGTTCTCAAAGGAAGTACAATACTTACGTTTCATCTTACACAAATCGTGCGCGACAAAATTTTTCAGCACAACGTTGAGATAGATACCCTGGCGCGGCACTTCCAATATAAGAAAACATTCTTCACAAGTACTCTCAGTGTCCACAGTTCCCTCAGTTGTGCGGTGGATTTGTGCGAAACTATGAATTTAGTCAGATCAAAGAATATCAGATCGAGCGTATCATTGTCTCATACCACTGAAATAAAACTTCTCCGGGCGAAGTCTGCAAGCCGAGATTATCTCGATTGATGCCGAATTGCCGAGGAGGCGCCGTCGCTCCTAAAGGTGGTAATTGCGGCCATATGTTTATGGTGTTGTCCTCAACATCACGGAGCTGGAATTCGAAAACAGGAAAGTTTTCCAAGCTTCGTTTCGCGACCTAAGATGGTCAGTAAGTGCGAACACTTGAGTAATTTGCGATCTACTCTACCTGACTGAGATTTCGGATGTCTTCGCTTCTTCTGTCGTTAGAAGCACCTAAATGAACACGTTGTGGGTGTATTGAGACGATGTCGGCCAGTATCCAGCATGCCTTAAGTAGGTTGATATAGGCATGGACTTGAATCTTAGTCCCTTCTGTAAAATGATTCATTTGTGACCGAACCTGTTGAGCATTAGTTTGCATGGCGTTGGAATCATTGGTTTATGCGGCACCTTTAACAACCACCATTTGCCTGCCTGCAGCCAGTCGTCGATCGCAATTGAGGCCCAAGGCCTGTTACCAATCTCTGCACTTCGCAAGAATGCTGCGCTGAGTTCTGCTCGGTCTCCATCGTCCAACGGAGCGTTCAGAAGAGGTCCCTCGGGCGAAATGCGGTGGCCTATCATGAGGTTCCGGAGCTCGTCCAGCTTCATGTCCGTTTTTGATTGTTGATTCTCAATCCGTTCCAGGGATGAACTTGCTCGTCAACACAAATTTCAGAAAGAAGAAGAATAAACCTACTTTTGAGCACCTTGCAGAAGAAGGGTTAAGTGGAAATTGTGAGACATGAACTAGAGAACGTTAATGCTTGATACCAGTTGCTTGAGCCGTGTTTCAAACCTTCGCGCGAAGCTCGTTGATGCTAGACACCTCAAAGGCGAATTTGACGCGGTTCCATTGGATTCGAAATGGACGTCTTGAGCCTTCAAGTGCATCTCCCTTGCCAAGTTCCGCATATTTATCAGCCAATCGGTCCATTTTCTGAACAGTCGCTTTGACTTGACCCATGACTTTGCACGTGTATTCCAGCCGTCGCTCTCCCGCGCGTTTTATCCACTCTTCCTGATCTCGGACTTCTTCATTGAGCAAGTTTACCGTGTTGGAGAGATTGCCTAGCTCTTGGATCAAAGCCCGGAGCTCCTCAGGTGCATCACGCGACACTTTGTAGACTCGAGTGTAGATCTTCCAGCATAGCTCCCCGACGGCAATAAAATCGCCAACGCCGAAGCCGAAAGACATAGTCTGGAAGAAGTTTGAAGTCCCAAGGTTGCGTTGGTAGGTGCCTCTCGAAGCTGGTGCTGTGGATGTTACAGAAGTAATGTGTGCCGTGCCGCCTGTTGGTAGTTGAGATTACTTTCAGGCTGCTGACAAAGTCGTATGGCGCAAGTGATTGGTAGTCAGTGATCATATCAGGCTGTGCGCTCACATCTGCCAGCTGGCGGTTGGTGATTGGTCTGAGTAGATTACGCCTCGCCGAAATTACAATAACAAATTCCACAATTGTATTTGCATTTCTATTCCGCGTCTACGTGCGCGGCTAGTTGACTAGGTGATTAGGCCAAGTATTGCTCAGTGACATCTTGTTACAGTTACAGGGCTCGAAATTTATTCTCACCACCTTCAACACAATCCTTCACCACTTCGTCCAAGTCCTCCTCCGGCAGCCCAAGTAGCTCATTGTGCAGCTTGTCTTGGGTCTTCAGTTTCTGACCCTCCGGTGAAAAGATGAAAGAATAATAAGCCTGCACAAGTCCCATGATATTACCAGATCTTCCCATCGCCTTGCCATTCTCAATTCGATCAGCGCTGCTCTCATACGTGATCTCCCAGTCTGCGTCTGTCGTGTTCGTGACGCGCTGAATACTCCTCAGAATATCCTTCTGGCTGACATAAAAGCTAGAGAGATACACTGGTTTGTTGCAAAAGTGCACGATTGTTGAGGATTTGTCGTCTTCGTCATCTGGAAGCTCTTTGAGACTTGCAATCGCAGCAGCGGCACGGCCAAACTGTGCCAACGTGCTGGTGTTGATCTTGGCTTCACCGTTGTCAAACAAAGTAGCCTTGCGGTTATCGATGTCAAAGCCCATGAACGACTCTCCGGAAGGCAGGCTGTAGTCAAACCACACGCCTCCTACGAGAAGGATCCAAGCGCTGACACCAACGCGCTCGATCTCCTTTATAAGATTGATCGGGGGCGCAGCTGGGAAGAAATCATCCACAGAACCTTGGTTCTCAATGACAACATTGGCAGCGTAGATGTTGGGGATGATGTAGCGGATGCCTGCTTTTCCAGCTGCGCGAACAATACGATGATGGACTTCTGGGTCGACAGTGACGGCGAGGGTGATGATGAGGAGCTGCTGGTCCCTCAGAGCCGATGCAATGGATTTCTCATCTTCGTAATCCACTGGGATCGACTTGACGTTATCTGGGAGCTTGGAAGTACTGCCAAAACGAGTCAGGGCAGTGATGGAATGCTTTCCAGTCTTGAGGAGTTGCTCAGTTATTTGGGCACCTTGCCGACCGCCAGCCTATGCATTGTTAGAGAATTGAGCAAACAAGTGCCTCGTGGAACATACTCCGACAATTGTGACTCTTTCGATGCGGTTAGAGAAGCCTTCAGGCTGATCTTTTGCAAATTGTTGCGTGGACATGGCTAGGTTTGAGGTACGAATGAAGGCTGTTATCTGTCTGTAGTTTGCAAAGAATGAATATTTGTTAAACTGGGAGTGAATGAAGAATGAGTATACAGAAATAGGCCATATTTTGTATGAAACAGAGGACCGAGAATAAATGGATATTCGCGATGTTAAATCCGGATTTCGGCCGAATTGATTTGGAGTTTACGCTCTATGGCCGTATTCCGGCCGGGATCGCGGACGAATGACATCAAAGGCACAGTAGATTACAAATGAATAAATCCTTCGCATATCAATCTCGATAACGATTATGCAAACATACCAGTCATCCTACTAGCCCTGAGCAAAGGACCCTCTCTCCAAGCTCAATGATTTTTACCGCAAAGATGCTCAGCAAGTCTCAGCGAAAGAGCTGCCAGAGTCAACGAGGGATTGGCCTCGGGACTAACAGGAAGAACCGAGAGATCGCAAACCCATAGATTATCCAGGCCCTTGACCTTGAGGTTTGAGTCCACGACACCAGGTCCCTTTGGTCCATCCATTCTCATCGTTCCGCACTCATGGGAAAACACTCCAAAGCCCAAATGTTGAGGTCGTAAGCCAGGGTCAGGACATACTCCGGGGTCAGCATACGTAGCTTGGTTAGGCTTCACACCAACAAATGCATCGCGAACTCTGCGGATGATATCCTCCATAGCACACTGAACCTCATGCTTAATCGGCGGACGACGAATATCCAGCACAGGATCCAGGCCCGGAAGACTAAGCACAGAATTCTCATCATCAAGCTTCCCAACAAACTCAAATAGCACGCAAATAGTGTCAAAGTTCTCCTTCTCATCAGCCGCATCCTTAGTAGGACTCATGAGCGTCCCATCACGACGATAAAAGTGCGTCGTGTTGAGCGTCGCAGAACTTCCCGCCAAGAAGAAATTCGCATTGATCGTCACTGTGACGAGACATTCTTCGCCACCGACTTTGAGGTGTGTTTTGAGATTGAGGGGCTTGGAGGTGACGGTGTCGGACTTTTGCTTGGCGAAGCGCACGTAGCAGACATTGTGGTCGATGAGACCTTTGCCGACGAGGGGATTGAGGTGGTCGAGACCGCTGTTGAGGGCGATGGAGGCGGTGCCGATTGTTCCGGCGGAGAGGATGACTTTGGCTCTGCCGACGTCGAGTTCTTTGATGGTGTTGGTGGATTTGTCTCTGATCTTGAGAGCGTTGACGCTTTTGTTACTGAGCCTTGGTCGTCAGCTAGAATGCTCGGTGGATGTATGGGTGTACTTACAAGGTGTTGCTGGCAGTGTGCTGAACCGCGATGACCTCTGTGTTGAGCAGAACAGAGAGATACTGATCGTTGGCGTACATGCGATTGATGATGCTCAAGGTGGTACTATATGCACCTTGGGCGAACTTGTATGGTGCCGGGGCATTGAACTGCGCTGCGATAGGCATGAGATCGAACTTTGAACCAGACAAGGCATTTTCCAACATCTGATTTGCGTCTCCAATCTCTGTAGCGCTGACTTCATGCTTGCCGTCACCCTCTGGGTAAATGACATCGCCAGGCTGCGAGTCAGTAAGGTATCTAAACGCCTTCTTGTATCCCTGCACAAGATCACCCTTGAGGTAATCAACAACATCAGTGGGGAAGAAAGCACCGAGAGTCTCATCTCCAATCTCTGGGATCCAAGTACCCCAGAGATTAGAACGTCCACCGACGCAATACACTGGACCGCCGACATAACTATCAGAGCGATCGGTGCATTGGACTTTGGCTTTTACAGCGTCATACACACGCTCGTTACCCTCCGGGGAATTACTTGCGCCACGGCTGAAGTAAGGGCGAGAAGTATTGAGAACGTGGGTGGAGAAGATGACGCTGCCGCGCTCGATCAACAAGACTTTGTATTGCTGGGATACAAGCTGTTCAGCTAAAGGACCTCCGCCGAAACCACTTCCTACGATGATATAGTCGTAGGAGTTGAGTTTGGCGAGGAGACAGACGACGTCTGTGTCGAGATGGAGGAGATGCTCCATGGTGAAGGATTGACCAATGAAAATGACTTGAGAGAAAGGGTTGTGAGATTGGACGAGAGAAAGAGATGAGAGAGGACCTGGGGGTATTATAGATGCACACCATGTAAGACATAATTGAGGAGGATATACCAATTTGGAGCTGACGAATGTGATATTGGTGTGATGAGTGCATGGCATCAATCACATCCTCAATGGGAGATGTCAGCAAGCCACTTTCGGCCCAATTCAGCTGAGGTAGATCAACAAAGAAACCTCAATATGCATGCAGAGACAGCTGAGGTCAGATCAATAGTTCAGTCGGCGGTGAGTAGTGATTGGATTCACGCATATGCATTATTTAAGGAATGAACCCAATACCATGTACACACGCTCAATCTTACCATGTTGAACTATTGAAGGGACTCGGCAGATGTGTTTGAGGCCCCCAACAGCTGTTCTAGATATGTTTCATTGCATTTGATACAGCGGCACGGCATGGACCGAGTCCGCGAAATAAATCTGATACGTCGGAGCGGTATCGCAGTATGTTGTGGACATGACGACTGGAACCTGGTCGTTGGAATGGGTCTTATCAGAGCACAAATGCTGGGAAACATGTAGAGTAAAGGTCTTACTACCATAAGGTCATTGAGATACAGGACTCGACCAGTTCTATCTATGCAAGGTGCAGAAATACAAGATATGCAGTGACAAAGACTAACAAAATACACTTTTCAACGCCTCTTCCAAAAGAATGCCAAGATCAGAACATTGTACGACAGTTTAAGCGCACCAGCGAGAATAAACGCAAGCCAGAACTTATCCAAGCCCGCAAACAATCCCGTGATGTACAAACCAAGACAACTTCCAATCGTCTTTGTAATATTCACAACACCCATCGCCGACGTCCTCTCATGGTCCAAAACCCCCGCCGAGATGAACGCCTGTCGCGGCGCATTGTCAATCTCGCGCGTAACGATTCTAAAGATGAAGATCACAAGGGCGATGTACTTGTTCCCAGGCACAGATACCATTAGCAGAGAAATGGAGTTTACTGTGTGACAGAGGACCATGGTTTGCACCTGTCCGATGGCGCGTGACAGTGGTGACGATGCGAGGTTTAGTATGGAGGAGATTATGCCGGCGGTGAAGGTTGCTGAACCGAGAGCTCCCTCGGGCATGTCGTACTCGCGCTTGAAGAAATATGTCATCCATGAGATCTGTGCGAGACCTGAGCCCACAAAGTCTAGTATCAGTGCGAGGGAAAGCTTCCACATAAACGCAAAAGACGCTGGTGTGAAGAGCCGCTTCTCCTGTGCTGCAGCTAGAACTTGAACTTGTGTTTCAGTAACGGCTCCGTAGCCGGAGCTATTATCGTCAAGAAGAGGAGCAGTCTCATCATCGGATATTTCTTCATCTGGGGTGAGAATGCCAGACTGAGGCGTTGAGCAAGATTCTTTCTGGAGGGGCATTTGCTCGACTTCGGAGCTGAGGAGGAGTGAACACAGGAGTTTGAACAGGCCGATACCGGCGTAGCTGAGGAAGATTATGCGGTGGCAATCTAGCTTCTTCATGCCGTTGTCTTCGAGGGCGTTGATGAGCCAGCCTGTCAGGAGATTACTCGCTGCTGTGCCGAACATGCCCAGCATAGACCACCATGCAAACATATCGTTGCACGTATGTGCCGTGCTAAGACGCGCAATCGCTGATTCTTCAATTGCCTTGAACGGATCAATCTCATTCGCACTACATCGTCAGTCCCCCTCTCACTCTCACCAAAGGGCACACATACCTTGGATTAATAACAGCGACGATACTCGCAATCAGCAAAAGCCAGAAATTCTCAAAGTACGCAAATGCGACACCGCCTGCACTCATCAACAGCGCTCCAAGAATAGCAGTCAATCGAACGCCGACACGATCGCCGACGTAAGTGAGGATAAAGCTGATAGCAAGATCACCCACGAGCGTCAGCGTCATGAACAGACCGATCTGCGTATCCTGAAATCCCAACGCGTTGAGATACAGCGCCAAAACGAGCGTTGTGCCTCCATAGCCGAGAAGGCGGATGAAGCGGAGAAGGATAAGAATCTTTAGGTCTCGGCTTGACCGCCACAGAACATCGGCGCCGATGCTAGAGAGGAAACGACCAGCTACCGCCATGATGAAATGCCCTGTGAGAGGATATGTACAAAAGGAAAACCCTGGGTGAGATGGTTAGTTCTAACGATAGTCGTTGTTTGCCTCATTTATCTAAACAGAATTTTTTAAATTTTCCGATATCTTCTCTTCTCCCCCGTCGATCATCTCTCGCACGGCCCATGCATGTTCTAGATCATGCGATCGGACTAAGCTTGGCTCTCTTTTTTTCGTCAGCTCCCTCCGCCCAAGCAAGGAAAGGAGAAAAAAAAAGCGCCTCTTCTCAAAGGGGGACAGGCTACGTAGACGAATCATGACCCAGCATGTGCTGCTGTGCGCGTGCCAGATGCTCCCTTTGGCTAAGACGAGTCATACATTGCACGGCGTGTGACCAATCAAGTTTAGGTAGAGTGTCTGACTTTTCTTTTCTCTCGTCTACTCGGAGTACGTATTCTAGCTAAGGAATGTCTGTCTCGCCCGCTGATGCCTTACCGTGGGGGTTACGGCATTGACCAGACCTTCTCCCTCAGCGGCAGAGACGGGCTGTTTCCCTCCCGCACACTACGCCAGCTCTCGTATTCTGCAAAGCGCTTGGCCGCATACCCCGCGTAGTCAAAGTCGATAGTTCCGGTCGCTGTCTCAGCCTGGATGAGAGCGCAGAGACCCCTGTCGCGGCGGTGTAAATCAGTGTCTTGCTTTTGTCTCTGTACCACCACACTCTTATCTGTCTGTGAGACAACTTACCAGTAGAACCCAGGAAAGCCCCTGTGATCGTCAACCTGACGCATTAGATGATCCACAGCAGCATCATTGACAGTCGGTATGTCGTGCTCCCGACAGAGTTCGGCGTGGGTCGTGAGATACTCTGCTATGAAAGCGCGTCGTGTTGATGTCTTGGGGAGCAGATTGTAGTCGCAGTCGAAGCCCGTCCATTCAGCGAAATGATTTGCTAGTTCAAAGGCCCGAGGACAGTATGTGGCGTGTCTCGGGGTCGTTCAGTGTCTCTGTTTTGGGGGACATTTGCAGAACAGGGTGAGACTTACTCGTAATCAATGAACCGAACTGATGCGACGTCAATGCCGTCACCCGACTCTTGTACAATTATGTTTGCACACAAAAGGTCGCCGTGAGCGAGAACCTGTGCGGGTTTAGTACCATACAAGCAAAAAAATAAAAATGCAACGACGCACCAACGGCTCCGACGTGTCAGTTGACAGCAAAGCATCGGCTAGATACTTGAACTTTTCATGCAAACCATCAATTTCTGCCTGTGATCGGTGAGGATGTTTGGAGATAGCGTCTAGCCATTTCTTCGCGGTGGACCAAACGCCCGGTTTGTAGGTCAAGACGTCGTCCTCAGGGTCCGCTGTGGGAAGGGTCGCGTGCCACCGAGCAAGCTCCCTCGCGACGCCGCGGAAGATTCTTGTCTCAGACATGTCGCCTTCAGAGCAGACTCGCCCAGAGATGAACTGATACGCATGTCCATTGCTGAAGCGAACCAGTGGAGATGAAGACAGTTGACGCTCGGCCAGGAGCTTGTGCACCGTGAGTTCCTCTATTGCGCGACATGTTCACGTTAGACACGAATCCAAGACGGAAGTTCCAGACGAGATTGACAGACAGGGGTACGTACTCTCGCGGTCAATGGTGATGTCCGTGCCATCTCCGTAGACCTTGATCAGCACTGCATATGCAGTGGCAGAATCTGCCGTGGATGCATCGACCGTAACCTTGAAAAGCTGCAAATGTATTTGCATTAGCGCAAACAAAGTTCCGTGTTCCTGGGTAGGTCAGTATGAGGGAACACTCACGCCATTCGTCGTGCCCTGAGTCAAAGCGGAAATACGCATATCGTCGATCTTCCGATCGGGGAACAGGAGCGGAAGAAGCGACAGGGCTGATCCATGAGGATCTGACGTATCAAAGACAACATCCTTGAACGGGATATCCATTCTCCACTCTCGGCAGTTCAACAAATAGCGAGAAAAAAAACAAAGGAATATCCAATAAGAGATAAAGATGGAAAAAGGTTGGGAGGAGTAAAAGATGGGAAAGCCCTTAAAGTAAGCTGTCTGTGCCTCTGGGTGTAACCGCCCGTGCCGCTTTTCTCCCAAAGGGCGGGCTGTAAGCAGCAGGGATCGACGCTGAGGCTGCGGCTGAGATGAGACAGCAGAGCAAATAGTTTTCTTGGCCCGTGTCTCACCATTTGACGCAGATCAAACAGATGTCGTAGATTGTGGATGAGAGGGGAGTGATTGGAGGCTGGGTATAAGACACCGCCTTGTTTCTCACTGTGGCCCGAGCACACATGCGGCCCGCCAGAAAGGGATCATTACACTACATACTCAGCCTGGAAATATTGGCCAGCCACATCGGAGACTAAGGGCTTATCGAAAACATTCTCGCGTCTGTCTATCCATGATTGTCAAAAGCAATGAGCGAATCTCTAATGTTATCGAGGTATATAAGAAGAAAGGCACGCGACACAATGAGACTCAGAATCATCAGCATCTCGGCATTACATTTACATCATGGCGCCTACAAACAGTCTTCTCTACAAAAACTTTCAGAAACATCCCGCGGCTCTTGTTGAGTCGACAAAGGGGATTTATCTGAAAACCAGCGATGGACGCAAGATTCTAGACGCTACGAGTGGAGCGGCTGTTGCGTGTCTGGGCTATGATAACAAGGACGTTCAGAAAGCTGTCGTAGAGCAGCTCGTGAGTGTTCCGTACTGTCACCCGGGCTTTTACAAGACGCAGGCAGCTGAAGATCTCGCGGATTTTCTTGTTGAGTCTACGAATGGTCAAATGTCCAAGGCTGTTCTTTGTGGATCAGGTACGTGAACTTCCGTATGAAGAGTGGATGACGGAGTGCTAATTGATGTTTAGGGTCCGAAGCTGTCGAAGTCGCTCTCAAGCTTGCGAAAACACACTTCTCGCACCTCGCTATTCCCCAGACTGAACGAAGCCACTTCATAGCTCGCGTGGGAGCATGGCACGGCGCTACGCTCGGTGCGCTGACGCTAGGCGACTTCAAAGTTCGGAAAGATCCCTTCGTGCAGTTGATCTCGCAGAATTCTTCGCGTGTATCGGCTTGTAGTTCGTACAGAGGACAGCGCGACGGTGAAGACGACGAGGCGTATGTTGCGCGTCTTGCCCAAGAGCTCGATGATGAATTCTTGAGAATTGGGCCTGAGAAGGTTTGCGCTTTCGTGGCTGAGACTGTTGGAGGAAGTGTAAGTCGTCTCCCATCTTTTCTTGGAAATGTGCTGATGTGATGTATTTAGGCGAGTGGTTGTGCGATGCCGTTGAAGGGATATTTTCCTGCTATGAAGGCTGTTTGCGAAAAGTACAACGCTCTTCTTATTCTCGACGAAGTCATGTGTGGAATGGGTCGTACGGGCACTCTCCACGCTTGGGAGCAGGAAGATGTCGTTCCTGATATTCTCGTCGTCGGAAAGGGTCTCGGTGCGGGATACGCTCCTGTCTCTGCAGTCATGATCAACTCCAAGCTCGTCGAGTCGTTCCAAAAGAGCGGCAAAGGTTTCGCCCACGGTCAAACCTACATGGCCCACCCTCAAGCCGCAGCCGCCGCCCTGAAAGTGCAACAAATCATCCGCGACGAAAACATGCTATCGCACGTCCGCTCAATGGGCGCATATCTCGGCACCAAACTCAAAGAGCGCTTACTCCCGATGCCATACGTCGGCGACATTCGCGGGCGCGGGCTCTTCTGGGCTGTTGAATTCGTAACCAACAAAAAGACCAAGACACCGTTCCCGTATGATCTCGGTCTCAACGGGCTGCTGCACTCGCGCGGAATGAGCGCTGGGTACGAGATCGCACTGTTTAACGCTAATGGCGGGTATGACGGGTACAGTGGAGATCATTTTTTGATCTGTCCGCCTTTTATCGTGTCGAAGGAGGATGTTGATGAGATTGTGGAGAGGACGGCGAGGGTGGTGGAGGATACGTTTGAGGAGTTGGGCAAGTCGGCGGTTTGGGAGAAGATTACCCTGCAGATGGAGATTGATGAGGTGGAGGTGGAGGTTAAGCCTGCTGCGGCGATGGTTGCTGCGCAGTGAGGAAAAGTTCATAGAGGGGTTTTTGTATTTATCTGGTAGACTTCTATTGATTCTGTGTTGATCGTGAAAGACTTGGTGCTCGTGTGCATTTTCGTATGTCGTAGCGTTGGTGGCTAATGTTTGCAAAGTCGCCGTTGCACCGTCGCGGCTCCAACGTTGAGCCAAACATTCCCAACCGTAAACGTCTGTGGCATATAATCAAGCCGCGCCGGTGGAAAACTCAATCTCAAAATGAAGTCCAAGAAATTCCGACACCATCACCAAGTTTGAGTGGCTGCCCTTCCAAACAACAGGAATAATTTGCAATACCCGGTTGATCTCCAGAGGCACCAGTGTTGGACGCCCAATCTAGTTACAGATTTGGTACAGGTGTCCAACAATTCCGGGCGAATGGTTTAGTGGTATAATACTCCCTTAGCAAGTTTCGTCCATCAGATGCTCGCATCTGGGAGTGGTCCAGGGTTCGATTCCCTGTTCGTCCAACGTCGGTGGTTAGACTCCACCAAAAATCCTTTTTTTTTTATCTCCACTCCCTCCACAGAGTAGATACCTAAAAAAGATATCCTAAACTTACCCTAAATTTATATTAAATTACCTTAGTCTTTTTATCAGTCAGGTTTAAGGTCTTAAGTTTTATTTCCTCCCCTAGTTACTGCAACTCTTGCCTGTGGTAGGCTAAGGGATTGATCAGAGACAAGAAAGAAGTCAAGACAGCACTTTCTAAAAACACCAGATTTGTTCTCAGGGTCCCGTCGAAATGGAAAGCACAACACGACTTTTGCGCCTCCGACGGAAGGCCTCCTCAAACTCCGTTTCTCCAGTCAATCCCGCAATGTTTCTCCCTCTCTCATCATCTCTTCTTCAGCATCACCCCCGTCATCAATAACGCACCGAAACAAAACCGAACAAAGCACTTTATATTCTCTCAACACTTAAAAACATCTTCTACGTCGCGGTCATGGACGAACCAATACGACCAATACAAACAATGGACCTCGCCTTTTCCCTGGACAGGGACGACTTTCTCAAACGGCTCTCCTTTCTTGACTGGACAAGAAGTAAAGGCGTCTTCCAACTTCAGGTACTTCGCATCGCTACTGAGGTAGTGCCCTGTCAAAACGGATTCATCTGGACTGCGGCAAAAGTGCACGACAGCGACTCTAACGTTACCATTCGGATACATAATATGTGGCTTGCTATTCTGGCACAGCTGAGACCCTTGATTTACAGGCTCTGCCGTCGCCCGCTAAATATGCCTGTCACAATCTTTACCAATCAAGAACTCGATGACCCAACCTTGGTGGCGACCCGCTTGTCCGATGCGGTTAACACAAAACTTGGTGTTAATTTGGCGAGGACTCTGATGCCCAACTTTGAGCATACCACGCCTGAGGACACCGCTTCGGCCGCTCTGTTGCTACTCGGCCAATATTGCACAGCTCGACAACATCGGGAGCTAGGCCCTAAGAAGAATTTCTTTTTCAGGAGTGCGATTTTTTCAGGAGGGGCGCCGGACTGGGGCATACTGCGTGAAAAGCTCGCGGCAATCAAACTCATGAGTAGTGAATTGGAGGCACCGGTTAACCGCCATGAAGACTTTGTGTACAAAATGATACAAGTTGGTGCTCTTGACAACAGTGGGCCCCCTTACGTTGGAAGTGATCAATGGGACCCGAAAGCGTAGGATAACTTCTGGGGAGAAATGCTCAAAGTGGGCGAGAGCGGACATTTGAGCGGTTGGCTTCTTAACTTTCTCGGTGAAAACAACCAGCCGCGACGTCGTCGTCGGCACCTCGATGAAAATTCGCGCCCTGCTGTTGCAAGGCTACCTATTCTGGTCATGGATGGCCAGGATCACCATCATTCCACATTGATTAGAGGCTTGATCGGGTATGGCAGGTTGCCAATACAAGTTGGCGAGAGCACTGAAGAGGCTTTTCAGCCGTTGTCCGGTTGGATGGCGTACCACGACGACAATGACACTGCAGCGAAGAAGAGAAGAGAAGAGGGCTCTAGAGCAGGAGAAAGAAATGATGGCTGAGCAGAAGAAAAAGGAACAGAGGACATAATTGGCTCAGTACTCAAGGCTCAAGAGTCCCACACGGCACTCGACTCGAAGGTGGAGATGGAAGCGAGAAAAGAGAAGCGCAATCACTGGTTTAAATAGCGACATCAATCCTTGAATTATGTACAAAGAATGAGAATTAAATCTGGCTCAATGAGTCCCAGGCGATAAAAGGTCTTTATTCCCTCGCGCAACGCACCAGTGCCCTTGTGTTCCTCATAACATCACTGATTACCAGGCTAGGGGAGGAAAGAAAACTCAGGACCTTGACCCTAAGGGATTAAAATAAATTTAGCAAACAATACCCTAAGTTTAAGCTAAATTTACCTAATATCTTTCTTACTTTAGGTCGAGGTTCTAAGTTTTCTTTCCTCCCCTAGCCAAGTCGCGTTATAGCCCGCGCTACTGGAACTTGAACTGGGCAGTAGTAACGTCAGTGAGCACGTTCTCATTGCCATAGAAAATGTTGTTGCTCTCAATGTGCCAATAAATAGGCGTCGAACCACTCTCAGACTCGCACGACAGAAAGCCCGCGACTACCGCGCATTTGACAAAGTACCGGTACTGGTTGTTGACAATATTCTGATAGGTATCGAACTGAAATGAGAGTTGAGGGCCAAGCGGAATGACGGTTTGTAGGTAGAATTTGGTGCCACCAATGTACGTGGTGAGGCGACCGGTTGAAGGTTCGAGGACGAATGTTGCGGGGGTCTCTCCTTGGTCGGTGAGGTAGACATTGTCGAGATAGGTGTTTACCACGCTTCCATCGGATAGGACGGCGTTGATGAGGGTTCCTTCGGGGATGGAGGTGGTGGTGGTTGCAGCGGCTGTTGTCGTGGGTGATGGTTTGCAGTGTCCTGCGAGGGCGAGACCTGCCTGACAGGAGAGCGCGAAAAGGGATAGGGTCTGAAGTGAGAAACGCATTATGGAAACGAGTGAATTGATCGACGAGTAAAGGAATGTGATGACTGTTGCCAAGACTGGGGAACCGATCTTCGTTATATAGATCGTGGGTAAGGGGCCCAGGGGAGGAAATAAAACTCAGGGCCTTAAGCCTAACTGATAAAAAGATTTAGGTAACTTGGTATAAATTTAGGATACCTTTTCTAGAGTTTATTTTATCACCCTAAACTTAGGTGTCGTGTTGCTCCCTGAGGGGAGCTTGTAATTTCGTAAATCTGGAACCATCGGATCTTAGTGAGAGACTATTGACTGTTGGTATGTCGATCGGCCGGTACACTAACTACAAAATGGGCTTGTGTTGAGCTATAAGGCTGGAAGATTCAGCTATTGACGCCACGATCATTAGCTAGTCGGGGGATTCTATGGTAATTGGACACGATATGAGATTTTACGAGATTATCCAGCTGGAGCTAAGAGCCGCTGATTGCGGTGCAATTTGAAAAGAACTAGAGCAGTGAAAGAGATTATACTTTCAAAACTCTCCGTTCCATCACACTGCCCATTGTCTTCTCTGAATAGCTCCCTGCTACTCTCTCCCTGGGGGACCACCATCTTGAACCTTGCTTCTACACTGCCACCGTGGAGGGTTGAATATGCTTCCCAGCATCTTTGTCAATACTCAACCCATGAGGTGCCTGGATCTCACCATCCTCACTCGTATCACTCAGACTACCCCGTCGGGCGCGTACCTTTTCCCTGCAAAATCATTAGTTCCATTCCAGTAGATGTCTTCATCGAACTTACCCATGACTTCCATAAACAATGCGAATGACTTGAGTCATAGCTACGAGAAGAACAACCATGACGGCTGAGTACACATAACCCTTCGGAAATCGAGGTGCCTCGACAGTAGGATACACAAGAAGTGGTATCCAAGCTTGAGTCGACGTAGCTATAGCCGTCATCAAAATAAGCGTCAAAGCTCGCTCCTCGTTGTTATGTCGAAGAATAGTATTCGCCCAGCCATAAAGGACTGATGAAACTGCAACGGCGGAGTAGCCAACGCTGTAAGCATACCACTTTGCTGCCTCAGGGACGTTCCAGATTGCTAGGATGACAAGACCGGTGAAGTTTATCACGGAAGCTAATGTGATAGCGGCAGGTCTTCCGATCCATAAGTCGGCACTGAAGTTGATGAAGAGAACAAAGAAGATGCCTAGCGCAGGACTTATTGATCCTAGTTGGTTCACTTTGGTGGTGTTGTAGCGATCTAGGCTCTTGATCCAGAGGAGGAACGCAGCTGTGTTGGCACTGGTGTTGAAGAAGAGAATATCCCAGAATACGAGGATGTAGAACTGCCAACTCGTGAAGATGCGACGGAGTAATGTCCACGAAAAGGGTGTGCTTCTGACCTTTGACCCATTGCGTTCGAGACGTTCTTTTGCGAGGGCGATTTCAGACTTTTTCATGACCAAGCGATTCGGTTTATCGGGTGTACCAGGCCAGAGGAAGTAGCCTACAAAAGCTAGAGGCAATGTGATGATTGCGTTGATGATGAAGTTCCATCTCCAACCAGCGAGCCCGTTGTGCCCGTCAAGGTATTGCGTCGCAGCGCCTTGGAGAAGACCAGCGGTCATAGTCCCAAGAGTAAGGCCGATATAAAATAACCCGCCTCTTCTGCCAATCTCATCTGATCTGTACCAGCTGCCGAGGACGAAGTGAACGCCAGGGAAGTAGGATGCTTCAAAGATGGAGACCATGAAGCGATAGGCCATTATCTCTGCGTAGCTTGTGGCACGATACTGAAGGAGTGTAAAGATACCCCAACCTGGTATTAGGTCAGCGAAAAGTTGAGTAGGGTATAATGGGTGACGTACCAAGGTCAAGACTGGGAACTAAGATGTGCATTGGAACACGAGGGAAGAGATAGATGAAGGGTAAAAGACCGACGACATTTCCAACGACGAAGATCGTCTGGAACTGGACTAATTCGTTGCCGTGAAAGCCTAGATCTTCTGCCATGCCAGAGACGTAGGCATTATCTGATGGGGTCAGTACAGGCCACTGGGAGTCGGAGGTTGAGCTTACTGATGTTGGTTTGATCGACATATTTTACCCAGTAGAGAACAAATGTGTAAGGGACGAGTAGAAGGTCAAGCTTCAAGATGAGTTTCTTTTCCTCTGGGGTGTCGGTTGGTGAGTACCAGTGGTACCACTTCCTCGCAGGTGGTTCAGACATGTTTATTCCAAGACTCAGCCAGTATTGCCTGTAGTACTGCGACTAAGTGTCGGGGGATGCACAATTTATGCTGATCCCACATATGCCATACAAGAAACGGCCTTTACCAGAAAGCTGGGTCGCATCCTGGTCAGTCGTCAATTATCCAGCAAGCACATCAACGTTAAGTCCGTGGGGTAAACCATCTATCATTCTTACAAATAACGATAGGTTACATGCGTCCGATGAGATTTCACCTCGACGTCCAATACTATGGCCGGATCTAATCGGTTTTGTGGTTTAGCAGATACTAGTTACGATGATGCCATCTCCACGAGCATTGCGTGAGGCGAAAGCTACCATACTCGGCATTAATAACCGCACAATCTCCGCTAGCGGAGGCGATCTGATGCAACGGTCAGGTAATCAAAGAATTATTATTCGTATCAAGGTTTGGCTATCATTTGGTGAGTGTCACCCGTAAATTCTAATCCAGTCTCCACGCCATATCCTCAACTCTTTTCACACAGAGGCAGTCCTAGCAATTGACTTATAGATCTAATTTCTTCCCTCCTGATACTTATGATCGACTCTACCTCGTGGACAAGTACTGTCGCACCTTGTAAAAGGCAATGCCCAGAGCCCAGATGACAAGGATGACAATTGCCTGAACAGGTGCAAAGATGGCACCTCGAACAACCACGAACCCGCTGACTAGCACGAACACTACTGGATTGATTGAGAACGTCTTGTATGGTCTCTCCAGATCTGGTTCACGATATCGTAGGATGATAGCACCCAAAACCGTGAGGAAGAAGAAAGAGTACTCTCCCAGACCATTGAGCGTCAAAAGAGCTCTAAAGCTTCCGAAGAGAATATAAAATGACGCAAGAATAACTGAGAGGATGACAGCGTTGATTGGCGCGTCTCCAGCTTCTTTAGTAGACTCGTCTTCAGAACCCTCGGCTTCTTCAGTATCAGGCTCAACGCCGACTCTGCCAACAATGGTGAAAAGACTAGGGATCCAAGCCTTTCTTGCTGCGGCGACGCACATACGGCTCGCGACGAATGAGTTGCCAAGTAAAGACCCTGCGACGACCAGACAGATGAGAACAGCCGTGACGATACCGAAGCCTCGACCCAAAAGGCGCGTGAGGGCAGTGACGGCCACGCTGTCGGTTGTACTGACGACGTTCCATGGGAGTAGAACGTAGTATCCAGCGTTGGCGGCAAGGAAGCAGATGATCGCTGTTGGGATTGAGGTGTTGATAGCAAGAGGGAGTTGCTTTGCAGGTTGCGAAAGCTCGGCGGAAACATAGATGGCCTGTTCAAGTCAGCGCTGAATTCATGTGCAGGCAATCAGGAACTCACCTTGTCCCACCCAGAGTAAGCCCAAAGAGCTGCATAAAGCGCAGCAGAATAATGTCCAAAGATCTCCCACTGACTCAACTTGCTCCAATCTGTATCCGGTCCATTCGGATTATACGTATCTCTATACTCAAACCAGTTCTTCTTAAACCAATCGCCTCCCCCAGCTTCTTTATCAGGATGCGTGGCATGAACGCCGACAACAGCTAGCGCGGCCATGACCACGACAAGAATACTCACAAACTTGAGAACTACAAAGAAGCCGTTGAGCCGAGTACTTGCTTTGGTGCTGATGGAGTTTGCGACGCTCATGATGATTAGTACTAGAATTGAGAGGAGCTTGTGTGATATGCGGTGGTCTTCGTTTATCACGCCTGCGGCTGAGTATGCGCTCTCGACAAAGACGATGGAGAGGATTGCTAGCGTTGTGGGCATGACGGTGACGATCCATGTCCACGCTGCGAGAAAACCCCAGATATCGCCATATATATGCTGGAGATATGGTTGAACACCACCTGCACCCGTTAGCTCATCTCCACGTAAAGGACCAGGATGAATCTTACCCTCGCCAGGAATAGCAGTCCCAAGCTCAGCAAACGTCGTAGCACCCGTCCACGCCAAAACACCACCAATCAACCAAATAACCAGCGCCAATCCTGGTGATGGAACATTCGTGTCGATTGAGCCGGGAGAAGTAAAAACTCCACTGCCGATGACGATGCTCACGACTATGCCGAAGGCTTCGACGGCGCCGAGGTTACGCGTGAAAGTACCCCGCGACGCGGATGCATCGTGATCTGCTTGGCGATGTTCGGACAGAAGAGGCTGCTGACTCGCGTCTTCAGCGCGTTCTGAAGACATCTTGAGTTGGGGTTATATGAGAGGGTTGTGCTGAGGATGAAAGAAGGATGAGGCGATGGGTTGTGAAATGGAGTCATGACCGAATGAGCCAGGTCATTGCGTGATGCGACGGGTAATCATCGGCTATGACGTGATGAAAGTGTCTGGTCACCAGATCAACAATCAAGGTCCAATAAACTTAAAAACCGAAATCTATCTAAGCTTAATTGATACTGTTACTTCTATCGTACATAGTGTTCATATTATCGTTCGAACCGTTGGCAGTTGTGCTCTACTTGACGGAAACTTCGGTGTAAAATGCCCCGAGATGAAACCCGTCGATGCCACTGGGCAATCAAACAGCCCCAATTTCTCTTGGCAACACGATGATCCTAAACAGATTCTCCCGTATCGACAATTAAACACAGTAAATCCCCTGTTCTGAAACTCCATATTGAAACCGTTATGAACCGAAACATCAAAAGTCCACCAATCGAGGAACTTCGTCTCGCACGTCCCAGTTAAGCTTGAACCAAGCATAAAAACAAGATGATCGCCCCGATTATCATTACAATATTTCGACTATCCTTCATTCGTTTTTGTCTTTTTTAAATATCAATTTCGTTTCTTCACTCTTTACAATGGGTCTATTCAAGTCTGCGACCATAACCCTCCTCGCCGCTGGCGCTCAGGCTCTTCCCCAGGCCGTGACACAAACAGCTGATGTCCCGGCGGCAGCAGAGACATACACCGCGAATCCCAACATCGGCCCCGGCGGCTCCAACTTCAAGGATTCAGCGCATTTCCGGATCTACGCTGGTTCCGCCGATGCGACCGCCCAATCGCTCGAGATGCTCGAAGCAGCATACGAATGCTTCGTTGGAACGCTAAAGTGGCGATCGCCAGGTCTTTCATTCAACGATGAGACTGATAGTGGACCGAAGTACAAGACGAATGTCTACACTGTTGGTGACTTGGGCAGTGCGGCGGGTGTGATGCATAGTGATCAGGCAACGGGCATGGCGTACCTTGAGGTTGTGGATCAGTACCTTGCTGTACCAGGTGTTACTGTTCATGAGTATGGTCATGGAATGCATTATCATCAGAAAGCTTGGGTGAACCAGGGTCGAACTGGTGCTTGGTGGGAGACTCTTGCGAACTGGGTCGCTGATACATACAAGACCTCTGACATTTGCGCTCCTGCGCGAAAGAACCATAATCAGGAGACTTCTCCCACTGAGATTGAACTTAAGAAGGTTCTCGGTGATTCTCACCAGGTCATTGTCGATGGATCCGTCGATACGGGTAATTACTACCAAGCTTGGCCTTTCCTGGCGTATTTGACCTACAATCCTGATGACTTTGCTGGTCTGGGTCAAGACACCATTCGACAGCTACAATTGCAGTATGAGAAGGATAGCAACGAAACTCCTCTTCACACTCTTGCTCGCGTTTCTCAGAACACTACTGTTGGTGATATCGTCGGTCGCTACTGGGCTCGTATGGCTTACGTTGATATCGGCCATCCAACCGCCCAAGAGGTTTTCTTCCAGCAACGTGCTGATATTCCCTTTGCAAACATGGAAGCTGCGGGTACTGGATCGTACAAGCCCAAGGCGGATCGTCAACCTCGTTACATGGGCGCCAACATCATTCCTCTCGACGTTACCGGTACTTCACTCGACGTCAAGGTTTCTGCTGATGCCGAGTTTGTCGCTACTGTTGCTATCTACCGCGAGGGCGGCAAGTCTTCTTATGTTACGCTTAGTGACGGAGCTGGGACTGTTCCTGTTCAGGCCGGTGACGATGTCAGTGTTGTTGTTGCCAATGCGCCTGCTAAGCCTATCCTTTACGATGGCTTTGATCTGAGTGCTGAGGTTTCAAAGGGTCTTGATTATACCATTAGCATTACTGGTGCTACTGTCAAGGCCTAAGTTTTCGAAGAGTCTTTTTTTCGTGTATATAGCATTTACACTGTAGAGCAGTAAATATTGAAAGGCAATATGAGGCCTAGATACCCAAACTGCGCGGAGATCTCCATCGCTCAATGATAGTTGTCAGGATCTCTCATTCTCTGAGCTAATACTCATCCTAAAGATATCCCAGCCAATCCACATCCTCCCAGACTAGATCTGTACCAAGATAGTCGAGTATAAAATTATCCAGCCCTTCGGGTGTCGGGAAAGCAGTGTTTTCCTCTGCACCCTTCGTGTTATCCAACAGACCTTGAAGAAGGTTCCGACTGCGAGTGCAGCCAGCGTCAAGTGGCTCCATTAGAGCGAATAACTCGATTGCCTGACAAACTGATTCATAGCACTTCAAGTTATTTGCCTCTTGTTTGTCCGACATCAGACCTAGAACGAGGACCAATGACACTTGGAAGAGGTTCCAAGCACTATTCCAGCAAAGGAACTGGTTGGAAACCCAATCCAGGGTCATTAGGTCGACTCCCTCCTTTGCAATCTGTATACATTTTCGGGCATGGCTCGCTTCTCGGGTATTCTCTTGCCCCCATGGCTTCTGACGCAGTGCTGATATTAACAAGCCTGGACGGTAGAGCGTAAGTCGAGTCGTGACCCATCGCCACCAAAGAATCGCTCGTGCAGTATTGACACTTGGCGGGCATTGCTCACGATGAGCTAGAAACATATGTAATGAGTCTTTCCAGGCAATAAGGTCGCGATCGAATTCGTCGACTTCATCGGGCCTTATTAGAGGTAATCGGGCGAGTCGCTGTTGTACACGTGTGGCAATCCTGCAGAACCTTTCACTAGCGGCGAGAGAGATAGTTCCGTAATCCTAGGATATAACAGTGTGTTTTAGCAAAGACAGCCAAGGGGCAGTGATCAGTGTGGCTTACCAGATCTTGGAGGGCTGACATGGGCGAAGTCAACGTTATAGCTGGGTCCCAATATCCGTGACTAGGACGCCCCAGAGTGGACGAGGCCCACGTATCTAAACACAGAATGGACCACCACGTACGTAGTCGTGTTGCCGTTGAGCCATTGGCGGGATGGAAAGCTGTGGTGGCAGAGGCTTGCGAAACCTGAACTCTATGCAAGCCCATTGCCACGGCCATCTGTAGTGTCGCTCCCATGACAGCAACTGCCATATTCGGCTTGTTGAGAAAGTGAAGAACCATGCCACTATACAAAGCCAATGCTTGCACCATGTAGAGATGACCGGAACCAAAAGAGTTGATGTTTAGATGGGGTAGAGCTCGCTTGTAGAACGGGTTGTGCGCGCTGAAGTGGATTGAGTCCGATGCCATTGACCCCATAACGAGCACCATGTTCATCAGCGCCAGCCACGGTCCAGCTTCATCCTCTTCGGTATTAGATTGAAGATATCGTTGACGAAAGTCTGCTTCGTCTACCATTGGGATCACAGGGTGTATGTGGCTGAAATAGGCGTTTATAAGCGGAATTTCATCCACCTGCAGGCAAGCTATGTCGCCCGGACTACCAGCCAGGCTTGAGGGACTCCGCCAAGCTTCAGCGCCCTTGGGAACTCGTTGCTGCACATGAGGAGAGAGATGGGCGATGACTTTCAGAATCGTAGGGACGGAGGATATACCCAAGTATGAGGCGTTGAGTGATTGTCGTGAGAAGGCTAGTCCGTTGACGTCGTCTGCCACGCGCGACGTCTCGCTTTCGGTCTCGGATACTTCATCCCAAGTAAAGTTCTGTTCCACCGACGGTTCCAAAACCTGCAGATGATCCTGCGGTTCAGTCTCAGCAGCAGGCGGGGGTACCTTGGAAGCTTGCAGTCGCATCAGCAACTGCTGACGGGTCATGGAGGAGAGTTCATCAAGTGAACTCGAGGGGAATAATGATTCGATGACTTTCCGGGCCTTGGCGTAACTATCGGTAAGTTCGGCGTGAGATCTATTAGCTGCAGTGTCAGAGCAGGCCCACTTTGTTAAACATTAGATGCGTGCGCTTACTTTATAGATACATTGTGTCTCTTTTTCCTTGCAGGATAATGGCACAGATGTGGGACGAGGTAGTAGACGCATTGTCGACAGGGAAAAGTCTGGCCTTCGCATTTGACTCGACGACGTCTGCATTCGGCGCAGGATGAATTGGCCCGCCTGCCGGTTGTCTCGGGGAGTTCCATTGTCATGCAATTCGACTCCGAATTTGATGAGAAGAGTTCAGGGAGACATCAGCGGTGAGGGATAATCCTTTTGTCAATGATTTAGAGGCTTGGGCTAGGTACAGAGTGAGCCATCGCGCGCAACAAGCTTAGGCAACAGTTTAACTTGGGATCAAGTGGCGCACCTACAGTGACATTGAGGCGTTTTGCTCTACACGGGCCTGTTTCAGAACTCAGGACAACAAGGTAGGTAGCATCCACTATTCGGATCCGAGCTTCACGGATACTTTCGAGTACGGTAGTTAGTGATGATCATCTCCGATTTCACGAAGATAGAGTACGGTAGTTTTGACAAGCAAGAGAGCTCCAAACACATGGCGTGATACAGAAACCTCGGCAGTGTCTGGCAACACGAGCTATACCGAAGATGAAAAGTCGTTGGAGCCGCCAATTGGTGACACTAGGGAGGAGATATGAATCTCCGCCCTAGCTCCGGCATGTCCGAAGCTATCTTATTATGGAGCTTTATTTCCCGACTATTTCTTTAGCAAAAAGCTTGTATTAAGACTTTAGATTGGCGCCGATACGAGTTACCGACTTTATTGTAATTTAATTGCCGTCATTGAGATCCGGAGCTAAAGACTATATCTATCTGAAACCGCAGGTGACGAAGACACTACGAGCTAGATCCAGCTACTGCTTACCGTACCACCGGGACACGGCACGAAATATTTAGTTTTATTGGTTCTATTCATCATTGGCACGGTGGATTGGAAGGGGCGCAATAACCAGGCCTGAACTCCGGTGTATTCTCTGCTAGTTACACTCAAGATGTGCTCGCTATCCTAACCTATAGCTAAATGATTTTATCTACTAGAGCCCCGATATTGGATGCTATCTCTCCTGTTATAGTACTCAGATAG